TGCATTACACACGTGGCTGTGTGATTTGCTGCCTTCCTCCCCTTCACCCATATCTGGCATTTCTCCCCATGCTATCTCTCCCCAACTCCCCCCTCCCGCTGTCCCTCAACTATTCCCCCCAATAGACCCCAGTGTGTAGTGCTCCCCTCCCTGTGTCCATGTGTTCTCATTGTTCATCACCCGCCTATGAGTGAGAACATGCTGTGTTACATACATAATTTTTGTTGCAAAGAAGTATGATGGTGTGATCAACAAAAAACTTTCAAGTATAAAAATATTCTGTGGGCTGGGCACAGTAGCTCATGCCTGTAATCCCAGCACTTTAGGAGGCTGAGGATGGTGGATCACCTGAAGTCAGGAGTTCAAGATCAGACTGGCCAATGTGGTGAAACCCCCATCTCTACTAAAAATTCAAAAATTAGCCAGGCATGGTGGTGGGTTCCTGAAATCTCAGCTACTTGGGAAGCTGAGGCAGGAGAATTGAACCTGGGAGGTGGAGGTTGCAGAGAGCCAAGATTGCACCACGTCACTTCAGCTTGGGTGACAGAGTAAGACTCTGTCTCAAAAAAAAAAGAGAATGTTGATGGGAAGGACACTGAATATTGAATTGCTTTGGTATTCAGATTCCACTGGATTTATTTAAAAGTTAAGTAACAACTTATTTTAAAATGTCTATATTTTTAAATGCCAGAAACTATTTTCTTTGCAATGATTAAACTTATGATAAAAATGTTAAATGTCAACTTAAAAATATACAAGGAGATATATAATTTTCAAATTATTTTAGGGAATATGTAAGTAAAAATGTTTGATGACCATGAGTTTAGATTCTATAAGCCAAGCCATTTTTTTGTTGTTCTATTTTTTTTTTTTTTTTTTTTTGAGATAGAGTTTTGCTCTTGTTTCCCACGCTGGAGTGCAGTGGCACAATCGTGGCTCATTACAACCTCCGCCTCCCAGGTTCAAGCAATTCTCCTGCCTGAGCCTCCTGAGTAGCTGGGATTACAGGCATGCACCACCATGCCCGGCTAATTTTGTACTTTTAGTAGAGATGGGGTTTCACCATATTGGACAGGCTGGTTTCAAACTCCTGACCTCAATGTGATTCACTCACCTCGGCCTCCCAAAGTGCTAGGATTACAGCCGTGAGCCACCACATCCGGCCTTGTTTTCTTTGAGACAGGATCTCACTTTGTCACCCAGGCTGGAGTGCAGCAGTGTGATCTTGGCTCACTGAAATCTCTGCCTCCTCGGTTCAAGTGATTCTCCTGCCTCAGCCTCCTGAGTAGCTGGGACTACAGGAATGCACCACCACACCTGGCTAATTTTTGTATTTTTTGTAGAGACAGGGTTTCCTATGTTGCTCAGGCTGGAATCAAACTCTTGAGCTCAAGCGATCCTCCTGCCTTGGCCTCCCACAGTGCTGGAATTATAAGCATGAGCCACTGCCCCCGGTCCCAAGCCCATTTTTGTTTTGTATTGTTTTCTTTTTAATTTAACCAAGACTCAAAAAGACCATCATCACTGGAAAAGAGCTCTTGATTCTGATAACAGCTCCTTAATATTGAACCAGGCTCATAAAGCTCTATCCATGAATTTCAAATTCCATTAGTTTAGTATCTGGCCAGTCACCTCCCTTTCCCGTCACTTTCTACTCTGCATCCCTCCTCAACTCTAAACTAGAGACATGAGGGAGGCTTGCAACTTCCCAACCCCCGCTAACATTTCACACCTCTGGGCCTTTGCTCAAGCTGCTCTCTCTGCCTAGCAGGCACTTTACCTCTCACTACCTTCAGTTCCTCTTCTCCAACCAAAAGGTAATTTTTCCCAGAAATTGTCACTCATAACTGGTTATTTTTGTTTGTTTTTGAGACCAAGTCTCACGCTGTTGCCCAGGCTGGAGTGCAGCGGCACAATCTCAGTTCACTGCAACCTCTGCCTCCCAGGTTCAAGTGATTTTCCTGCCTCAACTTCCCATGTAGCTGGGATTACAGGCATGCAGTACCACACCTAGCTAATTTTTTCTATTTTTAGTAGAGACGAAGGTCTCACCAGGTTGGCCAGCCTGGTCTCAAACTCCTGACTTCAGATGATCCACCTGTTTCAGCCTCCCAAAGTGCTGGGATTGCAGGCATGAGCCACTGTGCCTGGCCATAACTGGTTCTTAATTGAGGGTGACTAACCATCCCAGTTTTTCCAGGACTAAGGAGTTTCAATGGTATGAGGGGCTTTCTGTGCTAAAACCAGGATAGTCCCAGGCCAATCAGGATTGTTGGTCACCCCAGTATTGTATGTTCAAGCAACTCAAAATTTCACCCGGAGGAGTGGGACCAGCTTTAGGGTATTAACTTATATCTTCTCCCAAGTGACAGGTCTGTGGAAGACAATACTCTTCCATAGCCCAAGAGCACTCTCTTAGGCTAATACAGTTCAAATACTTTAAGCATTGAAGTTACAGTATACCTGATTACAAGCTCGCACTTCAAACAGCAGTTGTTTTGTTTCTTAGAAGAAACACTCTCTTCTAATTAATTGAACTCATTATGTTTGCATATTCAATTCCTGCCAGGGCATGCCCTAGAGCATCACTTCAAAATAATTCGTCTATGTGCATTTGAGGCTCCTAAACTCCTAAAAATAACTTTGAGAGAGACGTTGTACATTTCCTGTGAATGTATGTATATGTGTTTGGGGAAGTGGGAGATGGTTGATTCTAATAATCCTTAGGAGTGTTTCCAGAATTTTCCCAGGGGAGAATGTGGTCACAAGCAGAGAAGCTATGGAGACATGTTACCTGACTGAGCTTCAGTATCCAATCTGTTCAATTGGTACAATTCAATAAAATAGATGTCACTATTTTATTGGATTATTGAAAAGATTGAAAGAGGCAGTGTGGCAACTTGGCGAGGAGCACAGATGCTGGAGCCAGGCACCCTGGGTTTGAATTTTGTCTCTAGAGCTTACTAGCTATGTGACCTTGCGCAAGTCACTTAACCTCTCTATGCCTCATTTTCTGATCTCCAAAATGTGATTAACAATATAAGCTGCTTCAAAGACTTGTTATAAGAATCAAATGAATTAATATGTGTAAAGGACATAGGAAAGGGCTTAGTTATTATTATTATAATAACTAACAATAATATAAATATAATTGTATTTATAAGCATTCTTTCTTAGCTGGAATTTTCATATTTTCAGAGAACAAATGGACTCAACAGAAGTTCAACAAATTACTGAACCATGAGAATAGATTTTCCAACTCTCTACTAAAGGTCCTTTATTTAAGTTGTCTAGGGCTCACTGAGAAAAGACTTTGAGAGGTTAGTTTTTATTTGTTTGTTTGTTTTCTTGCATTAATAAAAAAGTTTGACAATTGACAACTGAGTTATTTTAAACAATTTTTTTATATTAGCCAGGGCATCATCTCTGCAGTTTTTATCAAAAGTGTTTTATTTCCATCATTTTTCTGTGTGTCCAGGAAGAGAGGTCAGCATATACAGCCTGGTTCAGAGTCCAGGTCAGCAGGCAGCCATCCTCAGCAGGGCTTCCCTTGGTACACAGGGCTTTGAAACCAATTTTGGTTTACCATAGTAATCAAAGGAGCTTCTAGAAAAATTTCCAGTTGAAATATTCATTCAGGACACCAACAGGCATGGCCTGGGGGTGGGGAGTCAGGGAGGAGATGGACAAAAATGTACTGTCTCTGACTTCACCAAGTTCACAGTCTATTGAAGAGAAATGGTGTTAAAAATTGACTTGGTTCCTCAATTTAAAGATGCTTTTTAAAAAAAAATTTTAAAGCTTCCAAATCAGATGCATTAATAGATGAGTTCATTTAATGTTATAGGCTCCCCTAACCCAGGTATCTATTACTAAATTAACAGATTAAAAAATGTCTTGCAATCTACAATGCTCTGGAATTGAAAACATTTGGTATACTAGGGTGCCGCGTGCTACGATAGAAGCACCTACAAAGAACAGAAGGGGCCAAGCAATGAGGGGAGGGGGAAACAGCATGAGAGTATTTGAGCTTCCTGGGAAGCTTTTGCAAGCTTCTGCCTTAGTTCTGAGTTATGTGGATACAGAAAAAGATACGGGACTCTACCATTAGGATGAAAATTAAATTGCCTTCTCTCTTTCTCAATTTAAGTAAACATGACACACCAATTTCAGATTGTGACACACAGATGACGGAGAGGTAGAACAAGGCTTGATGGTGGCCAGCCTTGTGCCATTGATTGCCAGTTTGTGAGCACTCAGCCCTAGCCCTTCCAGCTACATACCCAGGCAGCAAGGGGCAGATCTTGTTGAGGAGGCTGTTTGTACTTTGAGCTTTGAGCACGGCTACTCTCATGGGTCCCTCTAACTGAGCTTATAAGAAATCCTATGGTTGGGGTGATACACATACTAAGTAGTAGAGCACCACACTCTTCCTTGTGTATTGGAGGGATGGTACCATCCAAAAACCAAGAATGGCAAGTACTTATATAGCCCTTCTTTTATTTTATTTTATTTTTTTAAAAATATGGAACGCTTCACGAATTTGCGTGTCATCCTTATGCAGGGACCATGCTAATCTTCTCTGTATCGTTCCAATTTTAGTATATGTGCTGCCGAAGCAAGCACTATATAGCCCCTCTTAACAGTTGCCCTCCCACAACCCCTTCACCCATTTATCCAAAGACCTTCCAGGACCAACAGTGTAACATAAATTGAGACCTGAAGAACAGCTGCTCAAAATTTTTTTTAATTTTAATTTTTTTAAAACCCACGTCTGACAAAGGAAACACTTCTGGAGATAGACTGAGGACTGGGGAAGTTCTGAGTTTGCAATTTCTGATCTACTCCTTTGATCCCTACCCATGGCCAGAGCCCCATCTCTTTTTGGTACTCAGCCTACAAGGAACTGGCATCTAGTTAGTCTGCCCCATGCCATTCCCTTGCAGGGTAGACAGAGGAGGCTTCATTGATCTGGAATCACTTGGATAGGATCTTGAAGGATGAGTAAAAGTTTGCTGACGGCAGTTTCACAAGGGGGAAAAGTGGATTCCAGCTACAGAGAAATAGTAAGAGCCAAAGCTGAGAGGCAGAAAACGTAAGGGACCTTTTGAGGCTCTATGGGTAAGTGTATGTGACTGGGGAGTATGACCACAAGATGAGGCTGGAGTGAGAACAGGGCCAGGTGTCAGCAGGACTCTGGTGTCAAATGAGGAAACCTAGCTTTTACTTTGGAAGCAGTGAGAACCCCCGAGAGATTTTAAGCTGGAAAACAAGATGCACTGATTTGGGTTTAGAAACTTCACCCTGGGCCGGGCGCGGTGGCTCAAGCCTGTAATCCCACCACTTTGGGAGGCCGAGGCAGGCAGATCACGAGGTCAAGAGATTGAGACCATCCTGGCCAACACGGTGAAACCCCGTCTCTACTAAAAGTACAAAAAAAATTACCCGGGAGTGGTGGCATGTGCCTGTGGTCCCAGGTACTCGGGAGGCTGAGGCAGAAGAATCGCTTGAACCCAGGAGGCGAGGTTGCAGTGAGCCGAGATTGTGCCACTGCACTCCAGCATGGTAACAGAGCAAGACTCCGTCTCAAAAAAAAAAAAAAAGAAAGAAAAGAAACTTCACCCTGACAACTGCAAGGAAATGGTCAGAGGCAGTGGGGAGCTGTGGGAGAGTCAACCTGCTTGAACCAAAGTAGAGGCCCTGGGAGTGAAGTGCAGAGGTCCCAGGGCTATTTCGTTGGTAGGAATGACCAGTTGTTTAGTGATAGGGGACGGGAAAGAGAAAGGAAATTGCAGAGTGGGTAATATTGGAACTGACTCAGAAAAATATTCCAGAAAATGGTACTGTTCTTTAATTCTTCATTCCACTTTGATATCATTTTGATGGAATTGTTTCAACCTACTGTGAGCAAAACCATGTCGAACTGTTTTAAAAGCACATTCTGGGCCAGGCCTGGTGGCTCATGCCTGTAATCCCAGAATTCTGGGAGGCCAAGGCAAGTGGATTGCTTGAGATCAGGAGTTCGAGACCAGCTTGGCCAACAGAGTGAAACACTCTCTACTGAAAACACAATCATGCCATTGCACTCTAGCTAGGGCAACAAGAGTGAAACTCCATCTCAAATAGTAAATAAATAAATAAACAGGAAACAAAGGAGGTGGATTTTTTTTTAAAGAGAGTCTCACTCTGTAGCCCAGGCTGGAGTGCAATAGTGTGATCTGAGCTCACTGCAACCTCTGCCTCCCAGGTCCCGGTTCAAGCAGGCCCCTCCAGGCTATCTAGTCAATGTCCCAAAAGGGCAGAAGCACATCTTGGCAGAGGCATTTCACATTTCCAGATGTAGTACATATATCAGGAGGCAGATGAGTAACAGGGAAAACTACTCGTTGGATTGTGGTCACCCTGTGGAGATGTGGTGTGGATGACGTAATGCTCAGAAGCTTCGTTCAGACTTAGGCACAAGGGGATGGTTTGGGAGGCCTGAAGCTCAGTTTCAAGCAGCCTCATGATGGACAGTACTTGGACCCTGGAGAGGTGAGTAAGGTAAGAAAAACTTTGACCTTTGACGGTAGGGGGAAGCACATCCAATTGCCTACAGGGACAAAGCAATAGTAAAGTGGGCTAGGAGAGACTGTGGCACCCTGGGGCATTTGTGCCTCACCTAGAAGGGATAGATTCTACTCATTTCCAGCAGAGGTCATGTGGGAACACAAAGTCAAGGAAGGGAGAGCTGACTTTTCAAGAGAAGGCAGAGATTCAAATTTTTATGAGTCATCTGATTTGGGGTTGTTGGCAATTAATTCAAAGTTTAAGATGTTGAGCAAGCCAAACAAAGTTCTCCTGTGGCTGGATTTGGCCTTGCAGCTGTCAGTTTGCAACCTCTACTCTAAAACTTGGGCATTAATCTCTGAATTTCAATCACTTCGTGTTAGAACAGAAAAAAGTGGGGCTACTAAGAAGCTAGAAACAAAGAGGTTTATTGGATCTGAGGGGTCATTAGTCCAATTCCTAATTGCATAGATGGGGAAACTGAGGCTTGGAGAGAAGAAATGCCCAAGGGCACACAGTTCCAGCAGCAGTAGCCTGGCAATAAGAACAGGAGACTCAGAGCAGGCATGGTGGCTCATGCCTGTAATCCCAACACTTTGGCAGACCGACGTGGGAGGATCACTTGAGGCAGGAGTTCAAGACCAGCCTGAGCAATATAGCAAGACTCTGTCTCCTTTTGTAAACAAAAAATTTAAAACAAAATAAAATAAAAGAGGCTCAAGTGGGCCTGACTGGTATTTGGTCTTCTTGCCTCAGTTTCCTCCTTTGCTTATTTGTTTCTATTCTCTAGTTTGTGGCTATGACTGGTACATAAGTCCCGTCTGAACTTTGGATTATTCCTATTGGACCCATGGGAACCATGGAGTGGCTCTTTCTTAGCCTGGAGCTGGTGCTGTTTCTGAGTCTGCTGGAATTGACCCCCTTGGGCTCCTCAGATGGGCCTGTCTGAGCTCTACATTGTTCTGGGTGTGATACATAGCTAGTATGGGATAAAAATAAGGCTTGCTCTCAGTGTGCCATAGTGCTGTGTTCCATCTAGTAAACATACTGCTGCTTCCTAGGATTAATGTCTCCTTGCAGAAAGGAAAAGCAAGTTTGAATGTCATTTTGTGTGTATGGACTGTAAAATGAGTTTGAGTACATTTCAAATTTGCTCTTTCTTGCCCTTTTTTTGCCATCTAATAGTCACAGCCAACTTATCCATTAGGTATAGCTAGCACAGTAACTAGGGTCCAAGATACTTTTAAGGGCCTGGAGAAATGTTTTAATTTTAATTTATTTTAAAATCAGAAAAAAATAATAAACATATAAAAAGAATCCTATGTACTTAAAGCCACTGAACTGTACAGTTAAAAATGGTTAAAATGGGAAATGTTGTGTATATTTTACCACAATAAAAAAAAAGAATCCTGCCTGGATTATATTCATCTTTATGCCAAGGCAGTTGTAAAATATAATTTCTAAGATTTGTTATGGAGGAAAGGGCCCACAGATTCAAAACTTCCCAAAGCTCATGAATGTTATAATTTGGCCCTGTTAGTAGTTGGTTAATTCATATCAAGGATAAGTTTCGTATTTATGGACCAAATCATATGGACAGCACTTCTCTCACTTCTTCACGGCCTGACAAGGAAGGTTACACAGCCTGACCCAGATTCCTACCACCTGCCACATGGTGACAGCTACACAGACCGTTCAAGGGAGATGCTGAGTACAGTGGTTCTGAGAGACTTGCTAGTTTTGGTCTCTGCACAGCAGGTCCTGCCTTATTTAGCACAATGAAGCCAGACACTCTGAGGTAGTCAATTTTACTCCAAAGAGCATTTCTCATGCTTCTCTTTACTAACAAATCTCTCCCTCTTTGGACTACCAAAACAGTCTTCTGGCAGATCGCTCTGACTTGGTTTTCCTCCTACTCAAACCAGAATTATCTTAGCAAACATATATCTCTCTGGAATAAGATTATTCAATGACTTCCAACATTTTCGTTACTTCAGAAAGCTTGATAGAAATCCCAGTTTAACTCATGACAGTTCTTTTATAAGTAACTAAAAAACTGCTTTAGTTTGTGCTGGAATTATACCAGCATGCTTGCTACAATTAATAAATTTTGAGAGCACAAATGAATTATTTTCCAGATGCACAGTTTGTGTTGTAAGGGGGTTTTACATCCATGAACCCATGGGAGAAAGATCATGAATGGATCCTTGGAAGTGAAAAAGTGTGGAGACCCCTAGAAATGTCTCAGCAGTCCACCTGACCATTCTGGGAGGGCAGTATCACTCAAGCCAAAGAGAAATTACTGACTAGCTGTCTATGGTAGAAAAGGTGGGAGAAGATGAAGAAACATCACATTAAAATTCAATGCAAAGTGAAAGCTTGTCTTGAGCAAGGGTGAATGACTCAGCAAGAAATTGTTTACAGGACTTTAGTTACTGCTCTCTGCAATTCTTATATTAAATAAGCAGATTTTCATTACCTACTTGAAGTAATTCCATTATTCACCAGATAACAAAGAAGCAACAAACATATTTCCTAGAATATTTTTTAAATTCTGAAGTGAAAGCATTGCTTAGAATCACAAATGCTTGGTATATGTGGTCATTGACAAAAACTTGGTCTTTGGCAGAGTGAAAGCTTTGGTTTTTAAGTTCAGTTCCGCTTGTTTGCTTATCATTGTAGTGCATAGTTATCATTTCACATTCCTACATTCAATCCCTTTTCTTCTGGTAACAGTCATACACACACACACACACACACACACACACACACACAAATTATCTTGGGAAAAATATATATTTTTTTCCACATTTGGAATATCCTTCAAGACTCCCATTAGCTTTAGATGGCACCAAGTCCCATGCTCTCTGCTACTTCTCCTTTGATTATCATCAGAGTGATCACATGTTCTATTCAAAACAAAATTGGGTCGGGTGCAGTGGCTCAGTCCTATAATTCCTAGCACGTTGGGAGGCTGAGGTGGGTGGATCACTTGAGGTCAGGCATTTGAGACCAGCCTGGTCTACATGTTGAAACCCCATTTCTACTAAAAAAATACAAAAATTAGCCAGGTGTGGTGGCACGTATCTGTAATCCCAGCTATTCAGGAGACGGAGGCTGGAGAATTGCTTGAACCCAGGAGGTGGAGGTTGCAGAGAGCCAAGATAACACCACTGCACTCCAGGCTGGGCAACAGAGAGAAACTCCGTCTCAAAAAATTTAAAGTTGATTATGCCCGTAATCCCAGCCCAGGCAGGCAGATCACTTGAGGTGAGGAGTTTAAGACCAACCTGGCCAACATGGTGAAAAAAATATCCGCTAAAAACACAAAAATTAGCTCATCTTGGTGGTGGGCGCTTGTAATCCCAGCTACTAACTAGCGAGGCTAAGGCAGGAGAATCACTTGAAACCGGAAGATGAAGGTTGCAGTGAGCTGAGATCACACCACTGAAGTTCAGCCTGGGTGACAGAGTGATATTCCATCTAAAAAAAAAAAAAAAAAAGCTGGGGAACAATCCAAGATGGCCAATCGCTAACATCTCGGGA